TCTAACAACCACCATACTTTAACAGATCATTTTGAAAAAAAAAAAACAACATCTTATCACAGAAATTTCTAGAAAATAATAAGAAAATAGTTCCCAAAACATAGCTGTGGTGGTGGTCCGAAATGCAAATTAGACAGTAAGCTGTCCCAAACATACCCTAAGAAACCAGCTATCTAAAATTTTGGAAAAAAGTATATATTTATAATTTTCACTCTAGTTTTTTAAGAAGTTGTTTTCTCCACCGCAGCTCTACAACCATATTTTCAAAAAGCCACGTCCACCCCAAATATATCTTTTATATGTTTTAAAGTTTAATTGTCAAATAAAAATTTAATTGTTGCATGCGATCAGAAAAAAAATTATTTATTTTATTCAGTATTACATGACAAGTGTAGATTCATTTTGATTTTTTGAAGGCGAGGAGAAATATCTTGAATATTTTGAGGAAAATGATGAAAGACAGGATTACATTAATGTCTAAAGATATTGAAGATGGCAAAGAAGAAGCTGAAAATCATCTCAAAGCTGATGGAAGGACCAAATCAGACTATGATTTACTTGACTTGCTGCTTATGAAAAGAGCCGAATTCTCCAATGAAGTTATTGAGGACTTCATTTTTGGTTCCATTTTTGCTGGACATGATTCTACTTCAAGGGCAATCGCTTTCATGCTCTACCTCCTTGCAGATTCTCCACAAGTTGTTAGAAGGCTGCAGGTAATTATATTTGAAATTTTTAATTCATTTCTCTTTGAAGAATTTGCTCAGTTCAGATGATTTCCTTCAGACAGAGCACCTTCAAATTGTCAAATCCAAGCCAAATTTAGACAGCAAACTGTCATGGGAAGATTACAAAAATATGGAGTTCAGCAAATGTGTAAGTCATAATATTTTTTCTTGTGTTTATTATTTCTTTATTTAATATAATTTAAAGAAAATAATAACACTAAATAAACTTATTAATATGATATTTATTAAGGTTGTTAATGAGACCCTGCGGCTCAGCAATGTTGCTCCTTTCATTCCCAGGAAGACAGCTGAAGAGGTCAAGTATAAAGGTTTGTTTTGTTAATAGTAAGTATTAATTAGTATTTAATACACACAAAGTTTCATTATCTTATTATAATGTTGGGACATAGTTTTAACTTTGAAAAATGTATCACTGAATATTATATGCATTAATACATACATTTTAAATTTCTATATATGTTTTACCAACATTTTTAAAGTTATTTATCATAATTTTTCATAATGGAGACTTATGATGAAGTGACAAAAAAATACTTGTTATTAAATACTATTATTTAATCAAAATTTTACAAAAATATGTTTTGATCTATTAGTCAACTTGTTAATAATCACAATTAAAAAGTGACATTTTTAATAACAATTTATTAAAAATATATATTTTATTATTTATTTATGTCATTAAATACTCACATTTTTTGGGACATTTACAAGATGTAAGATGTGTAATTCATAAGAATTACAAACTTTGTATATAAATTTTTCTTTTTTTTTTTCCAAAAAGTATGATCTAAAAATATATAATTTTTTTAAAAAAAAGATATCAAATCATAATTAAGGAAGTGTAAGTTTAAACTTTATTATGTATTTTAAATTTATAA